GAAAAACCGAATGAAAAAAGAATGTTAGTAACAAATACTTTTTCACACCCAACCCAGTTCTGCGGAATCAGAATCAACCTTGAGTTTAAGCAAGCAAATGAGCCAATTGGAGTAAAGTGCCATGCAGATTTAAATTTCTCCCACTTGTGACGAATGCAGCTATCGATTTTTTTTTTGCATGTTAGCATGCTAGTTAACATTCATGTCAGTGAGCTGTTGGCTCTCACGCTGGCCAATAGAATCTTCCTGCGTATTCGTGGCAGCCAGCTATAGGCTCTCACTCTGGCCAGTAGAAAATGGCCGCAAACTACATGAAAAGTGCCGTAGAAGCATGGAAAAAATCGATTATTTCCATTATTGATGGGAGTTGGGAAATGCAAAGTCGGTCTTGGCCTTCCCGCAACTTGGAGCATGTGCATGTAAATTTTGGTGCAAATCCGTCAAAAATTGCGGCCGTGCATTCGTTACACACACACACATCCTGCCTTTTATAGATAGAGATGGACCGGTTCCTTTTTTTCATCGTCGAAATGATTTAAGTACCTTTCTGTTGAGGTACCTGATCAGTGCTTACGACGATTCATTATGAGGGTACTTGGTTGGCAGTTTTCTGGTTTGGTGTTTCTTTCCCTCTTACGTATTTATAAGTCTGCTATTCGCCCACATATTGGTTATTGCTGGTCTGGTGCTTCGGCTATGTTGTTTTTTTAGAGTTTCTTGATAAAGTAAACGGAAGAATCTGCAATGTTACTGGACGTGACCTGTCATCTCGGCTTCAGTCACTTTCCCAACGCCATAAATTACCTTCGCTGTGCCTTTTCTATAAATATTTTCATGATAGTTGTTCAGATGAACTTTCCCCTGGTACCAAAACTGTTAATTTAAGCGCAGGACTAGACTAGCGGTGAGATCTCATCATTTGACAGCTGAAATGGCGAGATGTAACCGTAAGTTCTATGCTAACAGTTTCTTCTCTCGGGACAGTCGATTGTGGAATACTCTTCTGGCTTCTTGCTTTCCACTCAACTTTAATCTTTAAGTATTTAAATTCAATGTTACTTATTAACATATGTCTTGTGTCTTAGTGGATTTATTGCCTTGCTTTGATGGAAATGATTACTGTGTACACAAGTAACTACTAATATCTGTTTGTTCATATCTAGTAGTCTAAGGAAGTCAACACTATCTATCTATCTATTCAAGTCGATTCATTATCTATCTATATACAGTGTATCACAAAAGTGAGTACACCCCTCACATTTCTTCAAATATTTAAGTATATCTCTTCATGGGACAGCATTGAAAAAATTACCTTTTGACACAATGAAAAGTAGTCTGTCTGCAGCATATATAACAGAGTTAATTTCTTTTCCCCTCAAAATAACTCAAATTATAGCCATTAAAAGCTAAATCCCTGGCAACAAAAGTGAGTACACCCCTAAGAAACTACACCCCTAAAAAGTGAGTACACCCCTAAGAAACTACACCCCTAAATGTCTAAATTGAGTACTGCTTTTCATTTTCCCTCCAAAATGTCATATGACTCATTAGTGTAACTATGCCCATGTGTTCATGGGGAGCAGGTGTATTCAAATTTGTAGTGCAGCTCTAACACTCTCTCTTACCGGTCACTGAAAGTTCCAACATGGCACCACATGGCAAAGAACTCTCTGAGGATCTTAAAAAACGTATTGTTGCACTACATAAAGATGGCCAAGGCTACAAGAAGATTGCCAACACCCTGAAACTGAGCTGCAGCACAGTGGCTAGATCACCCAGCATTTTAAAAGAGCAGGGTCCACTCAGAACAGGCCTCGGGTAGGTCGTCCAAAGAAGCTGAGCGCACGTGCTGAGCGTCACATCCAAATGCTTTCTTTGAAAGATCGGCGTAGGAGTGCTGTTAGCATTGCTGCAGAGATTAAAGAGATTAGGATTCAGCCTGTTAGTGTTCAGACCATACGCCGCACACTACATCAAATTGGTGTGCATGGCTGTCACCCCAGGAGAAAGCCTCTTCTGAAGGCAATACACAAGAAAGCCCGCAAACAGTTTGCTGAAGACATGTCAACAAAGCCCATAGATTACTGGAACCATGTCCTATGGTCTGATGAGACGAAATTTAATTTGTTTTGTTCTGATGGCCTTAAGCATGTGTGGCGGCGACCAGGTGAGGAGTACAAAGATAAGTGTGTCATGCCTACAGTCAAGCATGGTGGTGGGAATATCATGGTCTGGGGCTGCATGAGTGCTGCAGGTATTGGAGAGTTACATTTCATTGAGGGAAACATGAACTCCAACATGTACTGTGAAATACTGCAGCAGAGACTGATCCCCTCCATCCAGAAACTGGGTCGCAGAGCAGTGTTCCAGCATGACAATGACCCCAAACACACATCCAAGACAACCACTGCTTTACTGAAGAGGCTGAGGGTAAAGGTGATCGACTGGCCAAGCATATCTCCAGACTTGAACCCAATAGAACATCTTTGGGCCATCCTCAAGCAGAAGGTGGAGGTACGCAGAGTATCAAATATCCGCCAGCTCCGGATTGAGGAGTGGAAGAGCATTCCAGTGACTACCTGTGAAGCTCTGGTAAACTCCATGCTCAGGAGAGTAAAAGCGGTTTTGGATAATGATGGCGGCCACACAAAATATTGAGAGTTGACATGTTGTATGTTAATATTGAGAACTGTTCCTAAGGGGTGTACTCACTTTTGTTGCCAGGTATTTAGCTTTTAATGGCTATATTTTGAGTTATTTTCAGGGGAAAAGAAATTAACTCTGTTATATATGCTGCAGACAGGCTACTTTTCATTGTGTCAAAGTGTCATTTTGTCAGTGTTGTCCCATGAAGAGATATACTTAAATATTTTCATTCTTTTCCATTTTCGGTAACTCTCCTCTCACTCCCACTCCCTTACTGTGCCTCTGAGGGGCGTGTACCCGCTTCCCCGCTTCTTCGTATCGGCTCCTTACACTTACACTCCTGACAGGGGCGTCGACCGATTCTCCTCGTGCGTCACGTGACCGCTCTCGGCCAATGAGGTCCTGGTCGGGTATCTTTCCTCCTCCTTCGTGTGTCATGTGATCTTATTTAGCCAATGACGCCTTTAGTCGGGCGTGGACAGTCCGTGGCTTTGTTTTGGGAAAGAAACACCTTGCCTGAAAAACAAAAATATTAATTTAAATCGCCCTTATCATGAGCGACTGAGATGACACTTTCGGCTTTTTAACACGTGGCATTTGTCAAGCAGTTTATCGCTAATTGGATATGATCTAAGAAAGGAATTTCTCAGACTCGTTGGCGTTTCTGAACGGAATAAAAATATTTGTTTTTTTCCTCCGCTCGAAGGTCTGATAAAAAAATCTTTATTATCTCAAAAGAAATTTCGCCAGCGACAACGCCTTGTGTGGGCTTGTTCTAATTCTGGAGACTGTCTGTGTTTTCGTATTAATGGTTTGTCTTCATATCTTTAGATACACTTCCCCACCCACTTAGACCTTTACTATCATTCCAATGACACACTTCCCACTTGTTACTTATCAATATTTTCAGTGTCCCTAAACTTCGTTTCCCCTTTTCCTCCTTTCTTTCTTTTCCCTTGGTTTGATTACCAATTGATAACAAACTTCCATTTTTCGCGGATCCACGGAAATCGGTCAGATGCTTGACCTGAATATTTTTCGACACCTGTTATCTGTCAGCCATGCGTGTGTGTGCTCGCCTATGACCTGTTTTCGTATTATTTTTCTTTCTTTCTTCTTCGTTTTCTCTTTCTTTCTTCCAGATCGCTTGAATGTAAAGAAAAAATTATTTTAAAACCCAAAATATTTTCGGCCTTAAATAATTATTAAATGGTTGATAAACCGTAAAAAAACAAATCATATATCTATGAATATTTCTCTCAGCTCGTCAGATATGCATGGTGCCACAATATTACGAAAAGAAAAAGTAAGTGGAAAAAGTGAGTTTTTCCCCTCCTCTTCTCGTCACAACAGATAACCTGTGTATTATTAAATTACGGTGTAAATATGGAAGACTTTAAGGCAACCATATTGGAAGTAAGGAAAATGCAATTCGAGCAGCAACAAAGAAATGAGGAAAGACAGATTAGACTCGATGTAAAACTATTGGAAATTCAAAAGAAAAACGAAGAAAAGCAACTCAAACTACAAGAATTACTACTACGGGCAGTAACAAATAAAGGACAAAATTCTGAAAATGAAGCGGCATTCTCGCAAAATGCTATATGGAACTCAATCAAAGACTTCACTTATGCACAAAGACAAAACCTTCGCGGCTTACTTCAGAAGATATGAAGATCCATATCAGTTTGATTGCGGGAATTGGCCAGACGTGAAAAAAGTACGTTTACTACTGAGGAAACTAGGGTCAAGCGAATACACTAAATTCGTAGACTAAATCCTACCGAGGAAAACGAATGAGTTGACTTTCAGGCAAGCCGTGAAACTTTTAACGGAATTATTTAGTCTGAACGCTTCATTATTTCACAAAAGGTGGAAATATTTTCAACTGGCCTCGGAAGGTGTAAAAAAAAAATGGCTGCAAAAATCGAACTAAAAGAAAATACACAACCCATTTTTCAAGAAGAAAAGAAATGGACCTTTTGCATCATTGGAAAAGATAGACGAAGCGTTGGATAGACTCGTGAAAACCGGTATATTGACAAAGGTGGAATATATATGGGCCGCACCTACGGTTTACGTGAAAAAGAAATCTGGTGAGATACAAGTATGCGCTGATTTCTCGACGGGATTGAATACAGCGATTAAGGATTATCACTATCCTCTCCCTAGTCCAGAGGAAGTTTTCACAAAGGTGTATAAGTTGAAAGGAGGAAGATTTTTCTCAAAAATAGACTTGAGCGAAGCATACCTACAAGTACCAGTAGATGTGGAAAGCTCGAGGTTGTTGTGCATAAACACATATAAAGGATTATATCAGTGGTCTATGTGTATCAATCTGTTAGGATCTTTCTATGTACACCTTTAACTGCTACTTGTATAAACTCTCAATTTCTTCATTTTCAGCAATCTATAAAAACCGAACATTTTCTCTCTCTCTCTCTCTCTCTCTCTCTCTCTCTCTCTCTCTCTCTCTCTATCTATCTATCTATTCAAATCTTTCTCTAGGTAGATAGCTAGCTATCATATTCTGTTCTAATCTATCTATCTATCTATCTATCTATCTATCTATCTATCTATTTATTCAATTCTTCATCTAGTTAGATAGCTATCATATTCTGTTCTTATCTATCTATCTATCTATCTATCTATCTATCTATCTATCTATCTGTCTATCTGTCTGTTTCTCTATTGTCTTGTCTAGTTATCTCAATCTTTTAATATCTTTGTTCACATCTAATTACCATTCTCCATTTGTTCATATCTGGCAATCTACCAAAAATGGAACACTATCTATCTATCTATCTATCTATCTATCTATCTATCTATCTATCTGTCTGTCTGTTTCTCTATTTTCTTGTCTAGTTATCTCAATCTTTTATTATCTTTGTTCACAGCTAATTAACATTCTCCATTTGTTCATATCTGGCAATCTACAAAAATGGAACACTATCTATCTATCTATCTATCTATCTATCTATCTATCTATCTATCTATCTATCTATCTAAGGCTGTATGTATGTGCCTGTGCCCTATATATCTGGATTTGTGCGTGTTTATGTAGTTATGATAACAGTAAAAGAAAATCATATTTCTTAATCAATTTTCTCGCAGTCAAATTCCTTCCAGCCCCCCCTCCCTGGGTCTTAATACTTCGTGTTCGTTCTTTTTGAAGAATGGCTTCACTCATTATCAAGAATGAAAGAAATGCATAGAAATATAAAGTCCTTTTAATCTTTGACATGATTTAGATTTATGCTTTGAAAACTTACGATATCACGTTATTCTTCATTTTGACGCTTGTGTGTTGTACGAACGTGGTGTAGTGTGTATTCCATGACGTTAAATACATTCTAGAATGTCTATTCAAGAATGAGATTTTGCTGGCTATTGGTTGTTTAGACTTAATACGGATAAACTCTTAAGTCTGTAAAAGGTCTTACAGCCTGTTATATTATCGTTTTATTAAAAAAGAACTAAACTTTACAATTAAAGTTTATATGTTTCTGTATTAAGTGGAGGAGGTATATTGGAGTAATGAATAACGGACAGGAATCGGAGAGCCGAGTTAGAATTCCGGTCGAACCGCTTACATTCACTTACGTGCTAATAACCTTCTTCATTTCAAAGTCCAGAGGAATCCCTTACATTCACTTACATAATAATAACCTTCTTGATTTCAAAGTACAGTCGAAGCCCTTATATTCACTTAAGTGATAATAACCTTCTTGATTACAAAATACAGTCTAAGCCCTTATATTCACTTACGGGATAATAACCTTCTTGATTTCAAAGTACAATCGAAGCATTTACATTCACTTACGTAATAATAACCTCCTTGATTTCAAAGTACAGTCGAATCCCTTACATTCACTTACGTGCTAATAACCTTCTTGATTACAAAGTTCAGTCGAAGACCTTGCATTCACTTACATGCTAATAACCTTCTTCGTTTCAAACTCCAGTCGAATCCCTTACATAAACTTATATGCTAACACACTTTTCATTTCAAATTCCAGGCTAATCCCTTATATTCATTTAATGCTAATATCCTTCTTCATTTTAAAGTCCAGTGGAATCCCTTACATTCACTTATTCATGCTAATAACATTCTTCATTTCAAAGTCCAGTCGAATACTTTACATTCACTTACGTGCTAATAAACTTCTTCATTTCAAAGTCCAGTCGAATACTTTACATTCACTTACATGCTAATAAACTTTTTAATTTCAAAGTCCAGTCGAATCCATTACATTCTCCTACGAGCTCATACCCTTCTTAATTTCAAAATCCAGTCAAATTCCTTTACATTCACTTACATGCTAATAACCTTCTTCATTTCAAAATCCAATCGAATCCCTTACATTCACTTACATGCTAATACCCTTCTTAATTTCTAAGTCCAGTCGAATCCCCTACATTTACTCACGTGCTAATACCCTTCTCCATTTCAAAATCCAATCGAATCCCTAACATTCACTTACGCGCTAATACCCTTCTTGATTTCAAAGTCCTGTCAAATCCCTACATTCACTTACATGCTAATAACCTTCTTCATTTCAAAGTTCAGTCGAATCCCTACATTCTCTTACATGCTAATATCCTTGGGGAAGCTATAAATCTTCTTCTTTTCTCCCCTAGCTGTGGGTGAATAGTATGACAGAACTGGTTCTGTATCCTTGGATGTCAAGTGACCTACCACAGAAAAAAATGGCAACCTTATGCGGAAAAAAAATCTGCCCTGTCAGTCATGTATCAAAAGATACATGATCGCCTAAGTGTGCATCACACATGGCACATAATCGACTGAATCCCTTAATTGGTATTTTAATTGTCACTGGATGCTCAGCAGTCTGGCACATGTTTATTCTCAAAGAGGATGTGGTACAGAAAACTGAAGCACTGTATTTAAGCTTTGGTTGTTTTATCATCTTTTGAGTTTATAACAATATATACTAATTTTTAGAGAATCTGACTGAATTTTTGTTAAATAAAAATCATTCAAATACAAATGATTTACATTCCTTTACATTTTAAAATTTTACATTATTATTATTATTATTACATATTATTATGTAAATTTTGTTTTAAATTTAAAATTCCTTTACATTCATTGTCCAGTGGCAGCCATATTTATTCTAACTCCTAAATCGAAAAAATTCATTTCTTCCAACCAAACAAACATTTGTAGATTTTTTTTAGCAAAATGAACATTGTGATGTCTAACAGCAACGAAATGATTAAACAATCAAAGAGTTTGTTTATACTTTATCTACATCTATCTATCTATCTATCTATCTATCTATCTATCTATCTATGTAACCCTGTTCCTTCATATCTATCTATCTATCTATCTATCTATCTATCTATCTATCTATGAAATCCTGTTCCTATCTATATCTATCTATCTATGTAATCATGTTCTATCTATCTATCTATCTATCTATCTATCTATCTATCTATCTATCTATGTAATCCTGTTCCTATCTATCTATCTATCTATCTATCTATCTATCTATCTATCTATGTAATCCTGTTCTTATCTATCTATCTATGAAATCCTGTTCCTATCTATCTATCTATCTATCTATCTGTCTATCTATCTATCTATCTATCTATGAAATCCTGTTCCTATCTATCTATCTATCTATCTATCTATGAAATCATCTATCTATCTATCTATCTATCTATCTATCTATGAAATCTATCTATCTATCTATCTATCTATCTATCTATCCATCTATCTATCTCAGTTCATAACTATAGTTTTTAGTGTCTATATCTAGCTATCATTTATAGTATCTACTTATCTGTTTCATTCTTTTGATATCCTTCTATATATCTAACATTTAAAACAGTATCTATCACAATTTGGTCTCTCCCTCTATAAAATGGTGTTTGTTTTGTGAATGTCACTGGCAAATCCTTTCATTATCGTGTCTTTCTTGACGGTGACCCGGTGATTGGCGCCAAATTGAGCTTGTGACATGCAACACGAGCAAATGACACGCAAAATTTAGAATGAGGTAATATTTTGGCAGCCGCAGCAAAGGTGATGGTGGTGGAACTCTGTGTCAGATTTTTCGCTGACCTTACGAAACAGCCTCAAGTTGAAGGTCCCGCGGCGACGCCAGATGCGACCATTACCAGACCGGCCTCATTATAGTGTCTTAGAGAACATCTGAGCTTTTATGCTATATTAACCTTTCTCACCGAGACATCTTTTCGCCAACCCGGGGCTTTTCGATGTGGTGTTATGGTAAACAAGCTTGTCTCGCTAGATCAATTACGAATGAATAATGAGTTCGATCTTCATTGGATGCCTCATGCTTTCGACCTTGTGCCACATCTAATCCAAATTTAGTAAATCACACCTTACAGCCAAACGGATATCAGAAAATGCGATCAATTTACGTACAAAGAGACAAACTCTGGCAAATTCAAAATACAATCTATATACGTAAAGTATAGAATGGACAATACCTCAATTAACCACGGCTTCATTAACACATGGTTAACACAATCGTCCTGGGTATGACGATAAACTACATCCGCGTCCAGGGTAAGATGATAAACTACACCCAACAGCAAGCACTCTGATCAGGAGGTTATGAGGAGCGTGGAATCACCTCTTAATTGCTGATGTTCCAGGTCCACCCTGACCCGGGGTGGTAACACCTGTTAGGGTCCTATCTATGGGTAAATAGTTAACCCCGAAACTGAAGTAAAAAGCATTATAAATGTGTAAAAATAGGTTTTAATAACAGAAATGCTTTGAAAAAAATTATTACCAAAAATTAATTTTTGAAGAAAAAAAAAACTATTACCAGCAATACGTTTTTGAAAAAATAATATTACCAGCTATACATTTTTGAGGAAAAAATATTACCAGCTATATATTTTTGAGGAAAGCTATATTAACAGAAATAGATTTTTGACAAAACAAAAATATTACCAGAAAAAAAAAGTGGTCGCATTGAAATTGATATGCCGTAAACCAAACCAAACCAAACCAAACCAAACCAAACCAAACCAAACTAAACGAAACGAAACGAAACCAAACCAAACGGTTAACACAAAATAAAAATAAATTTTAAAAATTGAAACTATTTACATACACTCGTCCACTCGGAAGAAATAAGGACATTTTTTCAGGATAATTTTTGCTGATTACTATTTAATACACCTTGCTGAAGCCATAACATTTTTTGGAATCGACAAATATGAATTTTTTAATCGATTTAGAAGTGAGTTCACTTTTCATAATATCGATAGTTACAGAGAAATTTATTTATTTCTTTTTATGTGCCATGTCCTTTCAGGACGTAGGCGATCATGGCTCTCCACTTCCCCCCTATCCCTTGTAGCTCTCAATAAATTTTGTCCTTCTGCCACCTCCCCCAGACCACGTTCTGTCATCCACTTGCTTAAGCCTGCCAGGTATGTCATGCGTTGTTTTACCTTGTCTCTCATTCCCTCTATTCGACCCGTGAGTATCATATTCTCCCGGCCCTCTTTCCTCATTATGTGTCCCAGATACTTCAGCTGACTCTTCCTGATGTTAAGAATAAGCCTCCTCCTTGTTTGTATCCTCTCTAAGAACTCATGATATCTCTCCACCTCGCTCTATCCCTTGCAGCTCTCAACAAGTTCTTTCCCTCTGCTTCCTTCCCCTGACCAATTTCTGTCATCCACTTGCTTAAGGCCGCCAGGTATGTCATGCGTTGTTTTACCTTGTCTCTCTTTCCCTCTATTCGACCCGTGAGTATCAGATTCTCCCGTCTCTCTTTCCTCATTATATGTTCCAGGAACTTCAACTGACTCTTCCTGATGTTAAGTATAAGCCTCCCCCTTGTTTGAATCCTCTCTAAGATCTCATCGTTGCTCAAACACTCGGTCCATAAAATCCTTAGCATTCTTCTGTAGAACGGCATCACCGTCGCTTCAAGTCTCTTCTTCATCATTGAGGAAATCGTCCAACATTCTCTGCCGTAATAAAGGACAGATGTGATGTAACAGCTCAATACACTTTTCTTTGTTACCAAAGAAATCCTCCTGTCTCACAATAATCTGCCCAGCTTTTGGAATGCGTCCTTGGCCATCACAATACGTCTACGGATCTCAGTGTCACACTTACCGTCCTCTGTCTGAACGATTCCCAGATATTTAAACGTCCGCGTCTGCTTGATTCTCGTGTTCCCGACCTGCAAATTGCATTTTGGGCCCATCCTCTTACTGATGACCATGCATTCTGTTTTCTTGTAGTTTATGCTTAGTCCTTTCTTCACACTCTCCGTCGCTACCTGTAAGAGATTTTGTAAATTCTTTTCCGTGTCAGATATCAGTACTGTGTCATCTGCGGATCTTATGTTGTTAAAATTGTGGCCACCAATAACTATCAGTTAATCCAATTTAAAAATAAATTTAAAAAATCAGAACTAATTAAATACACTCGTCTACTCGTAACAAATAGGGACATTTCTTTTTCGGGATAATTTTTGTTGATTAGAATTTAATAGACCTTGCTGAAGCCATAACATTTATTAGAACCGACAAATAATTTTTATCGATTTAGAAGTGGTGTTACGTTTCATAATATCGATAGTTACAGAGAAATTTCTTTCTTTCTTTCTATGTGCCGTGTCCTTTCAGGACGTAGACAATCTCCACCCCCCGCTATCCCTTGAAGCTTTCAATAAGTTTCGTACCTCTGCCACCTCCCCTAGACCACGTTCTGTTATCCACTTGCTTAAGCCTGCCAGGTATGTCATGCGTTGCTATTCCCTGTCTTTCTTTCCCTCTACTCGACTTGTGAGTATCAGATTTTCCAGGCCTTCCTTTCTCATTACATATCCCATCAAATTCAGATGCTTCTTTTTGATGTTAAGTATAAGCCTCCTCTCCACGACCTCATCTTTGTTCACACGCGATGACACCGTGCTTCTGTCACTGATATCTCCAGTGTTTTTTTCAATTTTTGAACTTTTTAATAATTTTAAAGTTTTTTTTTTCGGTAGCAAATGCACTAATATTTATTTACTTAACTTTTAAGAAAGAATAAACGGATACATATTTGTATTAACTCATGTAAACTTTTGTTCTTTAATTAAAACTATATAAATCTATATATATCGATTTTACGCTGTTTTCGTACGCAGAAAAACTAGGTACAGATAACTCTGTAAAAAGTCAAGGATTGACACTATTTACATTATTCAGACTATTGTCCTTATCTTTGTCGACATATTTATTAAAACGTTTCGGCCTTTCAGTATCTGTCTATATTTCTGAGATGGGGTATTATGTACACCATTTACATTATTCGGACTATTGTCCTCATCTTTGACGACATATTTATTACAACGTTTCGGCCTTTCAGTATCTGTCTATATTTCTGAGATGGGGCATTATGTACACTATTTACATTATTCACACTATTGTCCTCATCTTTGTTGCCATATTTATTACAACGTTTTTTGTTTTCAGTATCTGTCTATATTTATTGAGATGGGGTATTATGTACACTATTTACATTATTCAGACTATTGTCCTTATCTTTGTCGACATATTTATTACAACGTTTCGGCCTTTCAGTATCTGTCTATATTTCTGAGATGATGTATTATGTACACTATTTACATTATTTGGACTATTGCTCTCATCTTTGTCGACATATTTATTACAACGTTTCGGCCTTTAAGTATCTGTCTATATTTCTGAGATGATGTATTATGTACACTATTTACATTATTCGGACTATTGCCCTCATCTTTGTCGACATATTTATTACAACGTTTCGGCCGTTGTACTCTCCTGCCTTCTTCGGATGGTTGGAATGTCGAACTGAACCCTTTATTTCGCTCACTGGGGTAGACTGTTCTAGTTCCACGTGACATGATACTGATTGCTGACATCCATTAAAAATGGCACGTGGAACCAACGCCTTTATCCACTGTGCCATATGTCCTTGAGGATAAAGGCGTTGGTTAGATCCAGTGACAGGACCCAAACAGTGGGACTTCAATATTCGGTTAAGGCAGTGGAAAACTTGGAGAGGGGAATTAACAGGAAATGACTGATAACTGACATCCATTAAAAAAGATGGCGCGTGGAACTAGAACAGTCTACCCTAGTGAGCGAAATAAAGGGTTCAATTCGACATTCCAACCACCTGAAGAAGGCCGGAGCGTACAACGGCCGAAACGTTGTAATAAATACGGTGACAAAGATGAGGACAATATTCCGAATAATGTAAATAGTGTAAAATATATATTTCTTAAACGTTATTTGAAGAAAATTTGCAAATTTAAACTAAGGTTAATCTGATTTGAAACAAATATTACTTATAGCATAAAATGTTGCATACGAGCATTTTCTAAACACGGAATCTTGTTTTTCTGACGTGTTAATCGATTTATTTTCGTCGGATTGACTACCGAACGTGTTCGCAGTTAAATATGGTGTAGCAGACGATAATTTTCATTAGCGATTTGTTATTTTTTCCGTAAGTGGAGACAACTCTTAAAACACG